ACATTATTTGTTTTCTGTATAGATTCAATAAACAGTACGTACTTGTTTGACTACGGAAAAAAAAAAAAAAAAAAAAAAAAAATAAAGCTTTAAATATGTATTTTTTATAATTTAATAATAAAAATTATTAAAAATTATTAAAAATTAATTATAAATTAGTTATAAAATATGAATTTAAAATAATGAAAAAAAGAATATATATATATATTTATTTATTTATGTTTTTATTTTATTTTATTATTAGATTATTAAACTATAAATAAAAAATAAAAAATAAAAAATTTTTAAAAAAATTTTTTTAAATTAAACTATATATTTAATAATATTAATAAAAATTTTTTTAAAATATTATTTTAACTAATTAAAAAATTTTTTTTCCATTATTTGAAATAAAAAAAAATTGAGTTTTTTTTATTTAGTAAAATTAATTGTTAATTTTAAAATACCGAAAATAATTTCTATTTTAATATGGCATTAATGAAATAAATCATTTTGCTTTCATGATCTGACGTAATGTTACATAAGGAGACGCACTGTGATTTGTCACTTTATGACGATCCTTACACTAGGATCGCGACATGTTATGTTAGTTAAATTAATTTTATGTTAGTAGCACATCAAATTTTTTTTTTTAAAAAAATATTTTTTAGAGGTAAACAACCACCAAACTACGTAATTTTAAATATAATGACCATTATAACAAACTCGCGTTCGTCCAATCAAAACCGCAGGATCCTTTCAGATTTCATATAAATAGGTAAAACATAGTTCATAATTTCAGGCTAACTATAAAAACCTTACAAGAGTTTACTCATTTTGCGGCTTGGACTTTATAAAAAATCATTAAAATGACATATCAAAGTATAATGGAAACCGTTCCTGTTGAAGAGGAATACGAGGTAATAGCGTTTTATGAACGTTTTTTTATTTTATTTTATTTTATTTTTTTTTACATTTGTGACACCTTTACATATTGTGTTAATTTCAAGGTGTTCTAGATTCATAAACTTGAATATTTACTGACTCATAAACCTTGGTTTGTTATGATATTTTAGGTGGAAAAAATTATTGGCAAGAGGGAGGAGAACGTAAGTATACTTTCAAAAACATTTTTTTTAGGTGAAGTTTGTAATTTTTATCAGTCTTACATGTGTCAAGAAAATATTCAACTGGGTTTTGGGAATATTATACAATATATATTTTTTTGATAATATCAAACATTTCTAATGGTTGATGTTTCGTTTAAAGTTGATTTTTGCCTTTGATTTTTGAATCAAATTGAACAAATTCTTTTATTTTATTTTCAATTAATATATATATTAAGGATCTGAAAAAATTATATGGCAAAGACTCGAAAAATCCCTTACAAATTTGTTTGTTTTTTAATTAATATAAGGGATTTTATTTAAGATTTTACAGATACATTAAGAGCAGAAATAATTTAATTTATATTTTCAAAGTTGATTAAATAAGAGCTTTTCTGTTTTGTATGTTAGCAGATGAGTTTTACTGCCTGACATTAAAAATTTGGACATTCCTGCAAAGACAAAAGTTGAAGCTATGTTTTGTCAAAGGGTTTTATATTAATGTTAACCAATATATCTTTTTATTATTCATTAGGGAATGGTATATTATCTTCTCAAGTGGAAAGGTTATGATGACATGCACAATTCATGGTAAAGATTTTAATACTTTGAATTCTGAAGGAAATTGAATCCTAGTTTTCAAATTCTTGGTATTCTGTGTAACATTAATCAAATATGATGTCTTTATGAATCTTGGTAAACAGGGAGCCTTCTTTGTACCTTGATTGTCCGGAGTTGGTAAAGCAGTTTAACCGTGAGCAACGGCTTAAGGCACTGAAGGCGGGAACATCAGGCGCTAATTCACAAAAGGTAACACTCCATTAATGAAATTGATCATCGAATAATCACGTGATAATCTAGACGACTTGGTACTTACCGCTTCATTTCTATCCAGAGATCAATCTGTGCAACAAAAATCACTCGTCCAAAAAGCGAGAATGAGTTGGCGTTTGAAAATTATCTCTTGACACATGCCCGTGATGGACCGCCAATTCAGGTTATCAACGACGTTGATGGACAAGGGATTCCACCTGATTTTACATATGTTGATTACTACCTCTACGGTCAAGGAGTTCCTCGCCCTAATGCACTGGAAGAAACTTTGGTAGGTTGTGAATGCCCGGATGGTGCTTGCAAAGGGAATAAATGTAGATGTCTAAAGGAACTCAATGAGGGAAAACTAAACTACTCGCGAGAGACCGGTCAAGTCAAGGTGCCCCCTGGACATGTCATCATGGAATGTAATTCAAAGTGTCCGTGCAACATAAATTGTTTTAATCGTGTCACACAGCAAGGTCGTAAGGTTCACCTGGCGATAAAAAGGTTTCCCGAGAAAGGATGGGGCGTGATTGCTACCAAACGGATTGAGGCAAACATGTTCATCACATATTATTATGGTGAGATTATAACAGCTGCTGAGGCCGACCTTCGTGGAAGCAAATATGATGCAGTCGGAAGAACTTATTTGTTTGATCTCGATTTTTGCGATGATGGGACAAACGAGAATACCAAGTGTCTTTACACAATTGATGCGTGGCGTTACGGAAATATTTCCCACTTCTTCAACCACTCGTGCGATCCAAACCTTGTGGTTTACCCTGTAATGAATGATAATGGTGACATTAGGCTTCATCACATTGCATTTTTTTCTAAGAAGGCCATAGAGGTTGGAGAGGAACTCACATTCAATTATACGGGGTCATTTGAGCGACACGACGGTTATGACGTACTCGAATCGGATGGAAGTCTCAGACAGGAAATAATGGAAAAATATAGGTGTAAATGCAAGTCAGGAAATTGTCGTGGATATTTTCATACGGTCTAGAAAGGGTGACGCCAATTCGTGTGATCGCGACAAAGTAATGGTGACGTGCCATAAGATAGTTTTTTTTTTCTGACTGTCTGCCCTTGATAGAATTTTTTAGCATATCATTTGTGACTATACGAACATTTCTTTCGCATATGTATTCTTTTCATTTCTTTTCTTTCTCAAAAGAGAAACCTTGAAATTTTCTTTCCGCAGCACATTTATTTAGACAAACTTCGGAGATTAATAATTGTATTTTTTAAAATAATAAATTTACAGAGAAAATCTATATCATCTAGTGCAAGGTACATATCATAATAAAATGATTGTTCGCCGTACAATGTCGATTGCTTAGTAACCTATCAAATTAGTTTGCTTAATAATGTCTAATTGTTTACGATCATAAGATCTTTCAATGTACTATTAGCAGGAGAGGGACGGGTCATGTGATATGGCGTGATGCATCAGATCATGCATCAGTGCGGGGAGGGAAGGTTTAAGGGAGTCTGTTGGAGATTTGCATGACGCGACGTTAGATTAGCGGACGCGTCGCAGTTAATATAAATAGAATTAGGGTTAGAGTAGTGAATGTAAGTTAGTTAAAACATTGTAACCAATTGTACTCGCAGCATAATTAATAAACTTACCTTTGAATCCAGTGGTAGTCAATATGTGAAGGATTGGGCCACAGGGATAAACGGGAAGAAGGAAAGTTAGATAATTATCGTGCCCACAAGTACCTTTGGTATTGCAAGCGACACGACCCCTAACGTACCAACATAAGGCGAGGATAGTTCTGGATTGGTGACGGACTCGCCGGTAGTGCTAACAATACTTATCTGCACACCAAGAAATCAAGAAACTCTCGAAAGTGATTCAGAGCATGTTTATCTGGTCACATTATTCATTACGGCAACGGCTGAAACGCAAAGCTGAGGAAACAGGCGTGATGGTAATTATCCAGGATGAGGCGTACACCTCCAAGACCTGCAATTATTGTGGGAGCATATAAAGCATCGGCGGAAGAAGAATTTATAAATGCGGAAACTGTCATACGGTTATAGACTGAGATGTAAACGGAGCCCACGGGATCTTCCTACGGGCGTTGCTTGATGGTGTAGGAATTGATGATCCTTACTTAGCAATGACTAGTAATGATTATCAATGATGTGTTACAATCTGAAATACAAGGCTTTCAATAATGTAAAAGCCTTTTAATTGTAAATTAAAGAGGCCTCGATTTTCCATAAAAGGGATAAGCATATAGTTCATGGGTCGATTTTCCTGGGTAGATTTAAGATATAAAATGATATAATTTTATGTGATCGAATCATATATGACAATGTATTTTATTGTACCAACGATAACATCCTCGTGTTGGCAATTTCTAAAAAAAGATAATTTGCCTAATTCATTAACATATTGTCTCTCAATCTCTGATTGTGTATACGTGTAATAATGCGGCCGTAATCACGTGACACCATAGGTATTTATCGATATACCCAATAATTCTGCATTGTAAAAGACTGCCAAAGATAACAATATCAGAATCTTGAAGAGCGAGCGAACAATAGGAAATAAAAGTCAATGTACACAACAGTGCTGATTGTCTTCCCATAATATGTGACGCAAATTTTTGCCGTAATGTAAATTTTATATAATGAATCTCTTATAAATTCTCCATGTATCCGAAGTAGTTTTTCTTCAACAAAAAATCTAACTCCCTCCCAAGAAAGAAAAAATTTTTTAAATTCCAATTTCCCTTTTTTCCCTTCTCGAATCAAAGACTGAAGAATTAATGAAAAGGGATTCTGGCAATTCCTTTTCTCGTCGAAAAACTAGGATGCATCCACACAAACCCGTTTAATTACTCAAAAAAAAAAAAATATCAAAAATATCAAAAAAAAAAAAAAAAACTCTTCAAAAAACTTAACAATCTTAACGCCAGTGATGTCCTTAATTCTGAATAACGAATTAAGGAATTTATTCCCCTCATGATCGAGAATAATAACGCATTCGGCTTTCAAAGATCAATTTCTGAACTCTGTATTCATGACGACGACGATGACCGAACTTTCCTTCGATGATTACTGACTTTCCTTTGCATAAATTCCAACGATCTTTGTTAACCAAGGCGTTTGAAAACAGTTTCATGGAAAACTCAATTACTCTCATCCATCCATGTACCACTGTATCTCGATAACCATTGTCTACCAGGAATTTGTCTTCCGGATACGAGCATTTGGTGAAGACGGCCATTAAATTTATTTTTCAATTACTATATTCCAAATATATTGTCCGTTTTATCACTTAACTGAGCGTAAATTTAAAATGTAATCGAATCACTTTAAAACTTTAACCTCTAAAATAGCGTAATCAGAAAAATTCTTCAACCTTTCAAACACGAGAATCAAAATTTGGTAAATTGGGAACTTTCGCGGCAGCATTTGTTCTTTTCAAATTTATTCTTTGAAACCTCACGCCGAATTTTCCGTTCGAAAATGAATTTGATTAGAGCATTTTATTTTTTGTTTATTTTATGTATTTCTTATCCCACCTGTTTTAAATAAATAAAAAGTAAAAAAGGTGTTCCGTGAATACCAAAAAAAGTTTAAAAAGTTTAAAACAAATATTTGAGTGTGGATGCAGTCACGTGCAAAAGTTTATTCATGAATCGTTCACTTTTAAGTTGAATGTTTGAGAACGAATGTGAAAAACCAGTATTTACTATGAAAAATACGATTCTAATACAAACGCACAATTGATTATTTCAAAAATTTTTTAAATTAACATAATCATTGTATCATAGGAAAATTTGAAATACTTACGAAAATGGAAATAAATACTGAACCAGATCATAAAATACTAAAAACCAAACTGTATATAGCGAACGTTTACGAAAAGATTTAATCTGGTTAATCATAATGAATTATATTAAAATAGAATTTTTTTGATTAATATTCATTAAATTATTTATAATATCCTCATCAAATTTCAAGATTATGAAAATAAAGGATATAAGAACTTATACTATATGCTGTCCATATTAAAACAAATAATCCAATGAATTTTAATTTAAAACAAATGTGATTAGACAACTCATGATGAAATTAATATAATTAATATTCAATTGAATAAATTGAAAAATTGAAAAAACCAAAACCACAATAAATCGTTTAAACAAAACAAGAATTAATCTTAAAAAAAAAGATGATTTAAAAAAGATATACTATACGGTGTTTGCTGATTAAATCAAAAAAAAAAAAAAAAAAAAAAAAAAAAAAAAAAAAAAAAAAAAAAAAAAAAAAAAAAAAAAAAAAAAAAAAAAAA